ATCTATCATTCAACACTTCATGCACTGATTTAGAGCATAAACATCTGTAAAAGCTACAGAGAAATACAATATACAAATGAATAGTTTTTCCGTACGAGCTTCATAGAACTATAGTTATCATACTAGACATTTCATATAACAGCAGACTAGTTAAACCTAGCATGCAGTGAGATTAAAAAAAATTATTTTAAAACTTCAAGAGGTTATGTTTACAACATTAGATGCTTAATATAAAAACAGACTGCTTAGACAATGTTAATAAATGTATCACTAGTATATTACTAGAAAATTAACAAAGCATACTTACATTACACTCTCTAGTTCATTTAGAAAACCTCGGGTGGTTACTGAAATTTTCAGAAAAGTAAAACAAAAAGTTTGAGATTTTTGTCATGAAGGAAATTCGGTGAACTTTAAAAAGACTTGTGATTTTTAAACCTCAGAGATCTAAACCGGTATTTCATTCGCAATGCATATTTATATCTACAACTGTTAGGTCGTAGAACAAGTTGGGGTTTTAGCTCTTTGATACAAAGAAGTCGTGTGACTTTATTACGACCACGATATATAAACTACCTTCCTCTGTTCAGTCTTTCATTTTCAAACTGTATGGAAATCTATTTCCCATTATCTTTGACTCAAATAAAAAAAATGCTATAGATAATTACACTTTAACTTTAAACTTATTTCCCCTTTAACTTTACACTTTTTTTTTAAATTTTATGCTTTTTTCTTTTAACCTTACACTTTTTTTTAACTTTATGCTTTTTTCTTTTAACTTTACACTTTTTCCCTTTAACTTTATACTTTTTTTCCTTTAACTTTACACTTTTTTTTTTAATTTTATGCTTTTTTCTTTTAACCTTACACTTTTTTTTTAACTTTATGCTTTTTTCTTTTAACTTTACACTTTTTCCCTTTAACTTTACACTTTTTCCCTTTAATTTTACACTTTTTTCCTTTAACTTTAAACTTTTTCCCTTTAATTTTCCACTTTTTTCCTTTAACTTTATGCTTTCTTCTTTAACTTTATGCTTTCTTCTTTAACTTTATGCTTTCTTCTTTAACTTTATGCCTTTTTTCCTTTTAACTTTATACTTTTTCCCTTTAACTTTACACTTTTTCCATTTAATTTTACACTTTTTTCCTTTAACTTTATGCTTTTTTTTATGGTTGTATGATATTCTTGGAATGAAATTTATTCTATCCAAATGACTAATTTTTATAATCATGCAGAAACGGTGAAAACTGGATACTACTATAGTATGCGGTCTACAAAGATATTTACACCTTAGTGTGCAGTCTACACAGATACCATCATCATCATCATCACCATTTTAATGATTCACTAAAACATAATTTCTTGCTAAATAATTTATATCCATCCATGTTATATCCACCTTAAACTTAGGTTATAATTGTGCTAGTGGATTTATAATAAAGTTTCTACCATTTATGTGGTCATCAACAGGTAAACTGTCGTCTACTGTTACAATAGACAATAGTTTACCCGATGATGACCACACAAGTGGTCGAAATATTGTTATAAAGTTAAACAAATAAATCATCACTCCGAAAGCCGTATCTCTGAACTTTAATTTAAAGTATACAGTGGATTTCCTATCTTTACAACAAACTAAACTTCTGTCGAGGAAATGCCACGTGCACCAACTTTCGATGTTTTTCTAGTAAAAAAACAGTATTTATTCCCTCTATACGAGCCCAACAAACATACAAATGTAGACTTACCAACAACAGTTAATTAAGATTGAAGAATACAACTTAAGTTGCTAGGAACAACTAGTTAGAGTAGAAATAGACAGACCACGTACCATCACCATCAAGATAATTTAGATATAAAATCTCGAACAATTATGGTACAAAAGCTAAATATTCTCTATTTAATATAAAAAAAAAAAATTAACCTGAAGAATTAAACTTACAATTGGGTTAACCAGAAACAAAATTATAAAAAAAAAAAGAGAAAGAATATCTCCACCACACCGTAAGTCGAGCATTTCGAAGTTTTCACCATGTTTTGACCGTGCTTTTGTATCTCACCTACCTATGTGGTGGAGCAAACTCTTGTGCATGGACTTAACCTGACAAGATATGGAGAACACTGTCAGCATTACTGGTTAGCGTGATGATTATGGTGTTATGTTCATTATTTACATGGTGACTGGTATGAAAATAAGATGCCATAAAAGAAATGAGTCATGCAACATCAGGTAAATCTTTTTCACGCTATAATAAGAAAGAATTTAGATAAGCATGATAACGACATAAATTTCTACATGTGGATAGAACATATAATGTTAGTAATCACAGAATATCCAGTAAATAATTAGAAGAAACTGTAAAAATAATATCACTTATTCATCGCTAATTCTATGATCACATGCTACTTTCCGGGTGATAATATTAGTCTTAGACCCAATTTTATCACAAGGGTAGATTAAAAATGAGATCTTCACATTAACCAACTGTTATATATGATACAACACAAAATATGTTTTATTTCTGAAAACAACTGACAAATAAAACTACATATGGGAGTGATATACAAACTAAGGTGACAAACTCAGTATCTGTTACATCCTAATCGTACGACATAATTTGCCCACTCCTCTTGCTTATTAGTGCAAAATAATTTCCGGAAGCTTTTCAGTTATCAGCCCACAACATTCATTTATCATAATTCTGCAAATATGTGTAACAATTTCGTAGTGAACAAAGCGTGCCTTTATATCCAACAACAACTTTCTCATAGCCTGATGTATTAGTTCATAATTTCTAAGCCCTAATTAAACTGTTTAAGCTGAGAAGTCAACAGTAACTGTGGATAAATGTGCAAATAACGACCTTTTTTGAACAACCAATGTGGAGTTAAAATGCTATTATGGAATCATATTGTTAAGAGCTTATATCAAATCAGTTAAAAGTGAGTAATTTAAAAATATTTACTTTATTATTCTGGGTTTTAACTTTTATTAAAACAGAACCCTAAAACTTTAAGGTGGGTAATTTAAAAGTATTTACTTTATTATTTTGGGTTTTAACTTTCATTAAAACAGAACCCTAAAACTTAAAGGTGAGTAATTTAAAAATATTTACTTTATTATTTTGGGTTTTAACTTTTATTAAAATAGAACTCTAAAACTTAAAGGTGAGTAATTTAAAAATATTTACTTTATTATTTTGGGTTTTAACTTTTATTAAAATAGAACTCTAAAAC